AGAGAGAGAGAGAGAGAGAGAGAGAGAGAGAGAGAGAGAGAGAGAGAAATGGGCCCCCACCCATTTGTTAGGGGAAGAGATTGCCAAAGACTCAGCGCTCTTCTGCCCTTCGGATGCCAAGCTATTTCGGCAACGTGCAATGCAGGTTTGTCCTCGACTTTACAACAGCTCGTTTAGGGACCGTCCAAAGTCACCCACGGCACTGGAACAAACACTACAGTTCATATTACGGTGACAAGAGTTGGAAGGGGGCCTTGGAGGTCATCCAGTCCAGCCCCCTGCTCACAGAGACCCCATACTAGGGATTCGAACCACCGAACGGTCTGATCGACAAGCTCTGTGTCTTAGCCATCGAGCCACCTAGTCAGGCTAAAAGGGGACTTACGGCCATTTATTTTTCACACTTAACAACCGTTGCAATATCTCCGGAATCAAAATTCAGACACTGGGGCTACGGACTCAGATTTATGACGATGGTCGCAGGGGGTCCCCGGGATTGCAGGATCCCCCCTTTTTGCGACCTTCCGATGGAGCCAAAGCCAGATTCGCCGAACAACTTACTGACCCACTGCAGTGCTTCGCTTAACGACAGCGGCGGGAAAAGTCGCAAAACGGGGCAAAACTCACGCGACAAATGCCTCGCTTAGCGACAAAAAACAACTTTGGGCTCCATTGTGGTCGTTTTAAGCCGAGGACTAGCTGTACATAAGAAAGGGAAGGGAAGGGGGGGGGAAAATACACCCCACAATATTTTAATTTACTTTTAATTTAGAATGTTTTCTTCAATCGGATCTCCTCTGTGGATGCCGGATTACAAATTCCCAGAAGGGTCAAGATTTTTGGAAGAGGTGTTGTTTGAAAGGTTGGACAAGGCTGATTCAGGACCCACAAAACACACACCGAGTTTTCTTCTCTCTCCAATTTTTGCACCCACTGGGACACGCAGCCATCCCGTGCCCCCCTTCCCTATATCTACGGCTTTGGGGTGGGCTGGGGGGGGGGGGAAAGAGGCCAGGTTGAAACATTTGGGGAAAGGAGGGAGAAGGGGAGGAAACGGGAGAAGCCTACCAAATGGCTTTTTTTTTTAAAGCCATTAATGGAGCCTCCAGATCCAGGAGCAGTCTATGGCGAAAGAGCAAAAAAACCTCCAGAGGCATCCTGAGCCAATCTGCAAGGGGGGGGGGGTGAAGGACACCCAGACAGCCCCAGGCCAATTTGCAAAACATTGGGTGGGTTCACACGATCCTCTTTAAACCAGGATTATTTCCCCCCACCCCACAAACCGACCCACAGCGATTCCATCCCCCCCCCGAAACAAACTGAGTTTATTCGCTTAAAAGTCCTGAGCCAATACTCCCGCATGCAATGAGAATCGCTCCTCCGGTTAAACCAATTAAACCAGGATTGTTGAACCAAGATTAATCCTCCAGCCTGGGTTATGGGGGAGTGGGCTTTTTCAAAAGGGGGCTTTGTTGGGTTTTCTGGATGTTTGTTTGTTTTTTGTCTGCATTGGTTTGCCCAGGTTAGAAGTATTTGGAAAGAAAGAAGCAACTTTGCGGAAACAGATCGCAAATAATAAAACAAAAAAATAAATATTACAACATAACAAAAAGCGAGCCAGCCCCAAAGGGAGGAGGAATAGAAAGGGGGGGGGAGAACCTCGAAGGAAACAGCCCAAGCAAACTTTGAATCATGGTTAGCGCTGGGGGGGGGTTTCCTAGCTTTGTCACCCCCCCCCCAAAAAAAGTTTATAAACAGCACATGGTTTGAATTAAAGTGGGGACGCTTTTGGAAGCGTCCCAGAAGCCAAAAAAGTAATTAAAAAATGCGGGTTTCGCTCGCTCCTTTCCCAAGGAGGCAGGAGGAACCCCGCGTTCACACGTTCCCACACGTGTGGGAACGTGGGAACCGCGTCCGGAGCGCCCAAACTCGAGAACGTGAAGAATCAAGGATTGCAATTGATTCACGGGAGTGGCGAAGGGGGGGGGAGTCCAGCAAGAACCCCCTCTGAGCCTCTGAGCATGGGCAGAGTGCTTTCTCTCCTTTCCCAGCCCCCCCCCCCACGCAATCAGGATTAGGTCCTATTTTAGGACCTAAAATAGGAACCTAATCCGAGCCGCGGAACCGCTTTGGGGGTCAGTAAACGGGGAGTGGGGTGGGGTGGGGGCTCAACGTGGAGAATCCGCTGCATTGATCCATGGTGGGGAGGGGGGAATCCAGCAAGACCCTCTCTGAGCATGGGCAGAGCGCTTTCTCTTAATTCCCAATGGGGGAAAAAAGAGGAATAAAGAAAGAAAAAGAAAAAAAGAAAGAAATGCAAGAGGGGAGAAGGAAAAAAAAAACACAGGAATTTCCCTGCAACAAACTTTGCATTCGTTGCTCCCTTGCAAAAAGACTTACCCCAGCCAAGCGAGCTGCGTTCCCACGACCAGTTCCCAGCAGAAAGATTAAAAGCCTCGCCGGCCAGCGCTTGCCACCCCTTAGGCCCCGCCCCTCCGCGCGCCCCAGCCAATCCGAGGCGGCTGCGATAAATCCGCACCGCCCCCTCCAAGCCCCGCCCCTACACACACACACACACACACAAACGAGATGCTTTTCACCTTGGAAGTTTTCCTTGACAAAACTTTTGCCTGGCTTCTTTTGGCTCGATCGTGGTCAACCGCTGGCTCGATCGTGGTTTATTCAAGGGTAGTTAGGATGTGTTGTTTGCACACAGAGTCTGCGAACCGAAGACTTGTGTCTAAAAAACCCGAACCACACAGAAAAGAGTTAAGTTTCACTGCAGGATGCAAAGATCTTTCCCTAGTGAACTAAACCATGGTTTGTGATTTAACCCTGATGCGTGTAAAGTCGCTGAGCCTAACATTTCCTAGCCGTTTTGGGGAGTTACTGTCTTTGTGCAAGCCTAGGGGTGTTTCTTTTCTAGAGTTTAGGGTGGTTGTTTTTTTTTAAAGGACTTTTTTTTAAAAAAAAAAAAATAGAAAATCATACAATTCTAGACCTCGAAGGAACCTTAAAGGTCTTCTAGTCCATCCCTCTGGCCAAGGCAGGAGAGGAGACCATATATCATCTATGGACAAATAGCTGTTTGGAATGTCTTGCCAGCATTTTTCAGATACTGGGGAGAATCTTAGAGATCTATTATTCTAATGTTCCTTGAAACACCAAATTGATTTAATCATGGTTTGATGTTTCATTTTAAGACATCATCAGTTCTTGGCTTAGTCAGAAAGTGAACACGATTCTTCTCTTTTTTTTTTAAATTTATTTTTATTGATTTTACAACAACACCTTCCTGGAGCCTTGGTGGCGCAGCAGACTAAAGGGCTGTTAAGTAGCACCAGCTGCCTGCAATGACTGCGAGTTCAAATCTCACCAGGCTCAAGGTTGACTCAGCCTTCCATCCTTCCGAGGTAGGTAAAATGAGGACCCGGATTGTGGGGGCAATAAGCTGATTTTGTATAAAAAAGAACACTGCTTAGGGGGGGGGGGCGAAAGCCCTACTAAGCAGGTATATACAAAAGTATGAAGGCTATTGCTTAACGCATTGTAAGCCGCCCTGAGTCTCCCGAGAAGGGCAGCATATAAATTGAACCAATAAATAAATAAATAAATAAACATAACATACAAAACACAAACGATATTCTTTTTACATATCAGTTTCGTTCCTCTTACTTTCTACGCTAGACATTCCCCATTTTTCCTATCCTTTATTATCCTTACCTTTATCGTCCCTTTGTTTTTAATCCTTTACAATATTTTACACATTTCTCACCTTCTTCTCTCCATCGTTTATTCACATTTGCTTTCCCTGTCCTCGAGCCAATCATACCGCTTACTCCATACTTGATAATAGTCTGTATCTTCCTTTTTTTTTTCTTTCTTTCGTTAATTTATCCATCTCCGCACAGTCCCAGGATTTTCTTAATTATTTCTTCCTCTGTTGGGATCTTTTCACTTTTCCAGGACTGTGCATTAGACTATCCTTGCCGCTGTAATTATATGCAGAATCAAATATCTTAATTTCTTTACTGTAAATTCTGTTCAATATCCCCAGTAAAAAACGTTTCTGGTTTCCAATTCACATTGTAGCCAATTATCTCTTTTATCCAACTTCTAGTTTTCATCCAATTTTTTTTCGCATTGGGACATGTCCACCAGATATGATAATATGTTCCGGGGAACTTTTTTACATTTCCAATAATTTGGAGAGTTGTTCGGGAGACATTTTAGCAAGTCATACTGGGGTGAAGTGCGATCTGTAGAACATTTTTAACTAGTTTTCTTTGAATGCCATTGAAAGAGTCAATTCTTCTCAAAGGTAAGCTCTATTTATCTGTCCTTCTAACTCTTTGCAGGTTTAAAAATCAATCCTCCTTTGCAAACAAACGAACAAAATGTTCCCACCATGGATTTTAAGGTTAAATCAACTGGGAAAAATCTGCACTTTCAGGACTGATGTTTCTTTGTCTCTTAAATTCCTTTTTTTTTTTTGCAGGTATCTGTGTGGAAGCAGCATTCAAAGGGTTTTGAGAAGTGGCCGCCCTCTGTTATTACCCATTTAAGTCCTCAATGATACGGAACAAATAAAATGCCAGGTTCAAAAGTGAAGAGATTTTCCAAAAAAAATAATAATAATAATTTTAAGCTGCGCTATGGGTGGCCGAGAAGAATCTAGCATTTGCATTTCTGCTGGGGGGCGATCCCTCACAAGGTTGTTTTAATCATTTAAAATGCAAATTAAGGGATTTAAGCAGAATTCTTGGGAAGATTTTTTTTTTCGTTCATTGCGTTTCCATGTGTCCGCATTTGCAACTTTGGAAGAATCGGGGGGGGGGGGGGGAAAAAAAAAAGCGACATCTCTTAGAGACACGGAGCGGAAAATAAACAAATTCAAGATCCATTTTGAGGAAATGGCTTTGCTGGATCGGCTAAAAATTTACAGTGTCCAGATCTCAAGGGCGGTATGGGTGTTGGAGTCATATAGGTAGTCCTCTACTTATGACCACAGCTGAGCCCAAAATTTATGTTGCTAAGTGAGACGTTTAAGTGAGTTTTGCCCTGTTTTCTTACCACTGTTGCTAAGCAAATCCACTGCACACGGTCGCTAAATGAATCTGGCTTCCCCATTGACTTGGCTTGTCGGAAGGTCGCAAAAAGGGATCACGTGACCCCGTGGACGCGGCGACCGTCATAAGTGTGAATCAGATGCCAAGGATCTGCGTTTCGATCACGGGACTTTGAGATGCTACGACGGTTGTAAAGGTGTGAAAAAATGGCCACAGCTTGCTTTTTTCCCAGCGCCGTTGTAACTTTGGTCACTAAACAAAACTGTTGTAAATCGAGGACTATCTGTATTCTGTCCCAGCTTGCAGGATGGTTTGGTTGAAATTAAATCAAGCATTTTCCCAGGGAAAAATGGATTCTGCTTTGCCTTCAGCCATTTTCCCACCCATTTATCTCAATAAAGGGGAATTTTAAAAATGACAGGCTGCAAGAGGGGGATTGAATCAGGCAGCTGTTATAGGTTCTAAATCATGTGGGAGAAAAAAAAGAGAGGAAGAGAATTCAATGAAAATGCCCCGTGTTGCAAAACCTTGTATTGAATTCAACCTTGGCAGTTGCTGAACGCTTGGCACTTTCAATTTCTCTATCCTGAAACTGGGTTTCTAATTTTGCACCGTGCAAATGACATGTTTTTTTTTTCCCCACCTGGAAAAAAAACAATCTGAGTTTTTAGCATCATAAAGCAAAGTTTACAGCCGTGTTTTCCAACCTCAGCAACTTTTAAGGTGAATGGACTCCCAGAATTCTCCATGTTTTGAGATGGGCGCACTTCAGGTCCCAGAATCCCCCCAGCCAGCATGCTTTAAGATGGATGGACTTCAATTTCCCAGAATTCCCCCAGCCTCCATGCTTTAAGATGGGTGGACTTCCACTCCCAGAATCCTCTAGCCAGCATATTTTAAAATGGGTGGACTTCCACTCCAAGAATCCCCCAGCCAGCATGCTTTAAGATGGGTGGACTTCAATTCCCAGAATCCCCTAGCCAGCATGCTTTAAGATGGACTTCAACTCCCAGAATTCCCCCAGCCTCCATGCTTTAAGATAGTGGACTTCCACTCCCAGAATCCCCCAACCAGCATGCTTTAATATGAACTTCCACTCCCAGAATCCCCCAGCCAGCCTGCTTTAAGATGGGTGGATTTCCACTCCCAGAATCCCCCAGCCAGAATATTTTAAGATGGGTGGACTTCAATTCCCAGAATCCCCTAGCCAGCATGCTTTAATATGGACTTCCACTCCCAGAATCCCCCAGCCAGCATCCTTTAAGATGGGTGGACTTCAACTCCCAGAATCCCCCAGCCAGCCTCCTTTAAGATGGGTGGACTTCCACTCCCAGAATCCTCCGGCCAGCATGTTTTATGGACTTCAACATCCCAGCTGGGATTTCTGGGAGTGCAAGCTGTAGTTCGTGGCCAACATCCATGTCCTGTAGCTAATCTTCCCCCTCTCTGTTCTTCCCCTTCTATGACACACTTTTTGTATTTCAATATTTTCCTCTCCCATAGCAACAGTTGTTTTCTTAAGAACTGAACTGCACTCTGCCCGCTAAGGAAAATTAAACTTCTGAACTTACTACTTACTGTATTCCCTGGTAAGAGGTCAAACAAGCTACGAGCACTGGAAGGATTCTGCACAGGCAATTCCTTGACTTACGACCAACTTGTTTAGTGACCGAAGTTAGGTAGTCCTCGACTTGCAACAGCTCATTTGGTGACCGTCCAAAGTTACGATGGCACTGAAAAAAGTGACTTAGGATCGTTTTTCACACTTAACGACCGTTGCAGCAGCCCCGTGGTCAGGTGATCAAAATTCCAGACGCTCGGCAACTGCTTCATACTTATGACGGTTGCATTCTCCCGGGATCATGTGATTCCCCTTTTGAAACCTTCTGACAAATCAATGGGGAAGCGAGATTCACTTAAACAATATTATTAACTTAACTGCAACGATTCACTTAACAACTGTGGAAAGAGGTTGTAAAATGGGGCAAAACTCCCTTAACAAAGGTCTCACTTAGCAACCTAAATTTTCAGGCTCCATTGTGGTCGCAACTCAAGGACTAGGCATACTGAAAAAAAAAACCTGACTTATGACCGGACTTCGCACTCGTGACCCTTGAGCGTCTCCGCGATCACGCCGAACCAAATCCAGGCACTCGGCAACTGGCGTGTATTTACGACAGTTGCAGGACCTTCCCAGCTAGCTACTGGCCAGCCGAGTGAATAGGAGAAACTGGTTTTGCTTAAAGACCAGACGCTTTGCTTAACGACAGCTGCGGCCGCTTTAACAATGGTTGCAAAAAAAGATTGTAAAATTGGGCACGGCTCAATTCAAAATCAGAGCCTTGATAGTACAGTGGTTTAATGCACCCTGTTATTAAC